ATAGAAGCAGTTGTGAATTCCCGTCCACTTGTTTACATCGACGAAGATGTCCGTACTGTACTGACACCTGGTCACTTCCTCTCCATCAGCCAGAGCACTGGCCTCTTTGATCTCCCGGAGACAAGTGACGACCCTGACTTCCGCCCGACTCCAACCACTGCCGAAGAGTTACTCGCCGGTTGGAAGAAAGGTCAGAACCGCCTCCATGAGTTTTGGCGCATGTGGTGCAATGACTACCTGCTGAGTCTACGCTCAACACACACCACCCATCACAGCCAATGCCGTTCTGTCCTCCATCGTACACCTGCAATTGGAGAAGTTGTGTTGATAAAGGACCAGCTTCCCCGAGCATCTTGGAGATTGGGCAAGGTGTGTGAAGTACATGTCAGTGCAGACGACAAGATCCGGTCTGCGTCTGTCACCACTGCTGATCGCCGCACACTGAAGCGTCCACTCAGCTTACTCTATCCGCTGGAACTGAACGTGACAGCGACACCACCAGCCGGTGTTACAGCAGATGTCGCCTCAGAAGCTGATGCCATCACAGACTCTACTACATCTCGTCCACAGCGCGCTGCCGCAGCCAAGCAGAGAATTGCGCTGAAGAGTCTTATTGAAGATGATGCCGTCTAATGCTACCAGTAAGCATCTTTCTCCTTTCCTCTTTCCTGTACTGATTTTTCTCAAATTCTTCTTTCGCTCATTTTCTTTCCTTTCTTCTCGGCGGGGAGTGTCACGAAAATCAGTCGTGATCATTTATGTGCCCCCTTTTTTGGCACCAAGCGATTCCCTTTTGCATGCACCCAGCCATTTCTGGCTGTCCTGCAGCTAGCAGTGTGCTCTACTTGCTCTCTGTTGTATGCATCTACCCGTTTCTGGCTGCCGTGCATGTGGCGGTGTGCTCCCCTTTCTGCGCATGTATCCATTTCTGGCTACCATGCATGTCGCGGTGTGCTCCCCTTTCTGCGCATGTATCCATTTCTGGCTACCATGCATGTCGCGGTGTGCTCTCTTTCTGCGCATGTATCCGTTTCTGGCTGCCGTGCATGTCGCGGTGCGCTCCCCTTTCTGCGCATGTATCCGTTACTGGCTGCTACAGCTCGCGTTGCGCTTCTCTTGCTCTCCTATGTGTACACACGTCCATTTCTGGCTGTACCCGCATGCCTATTTCTGCCTTCGCGCTGACCCCTGAGGAATCGCTTGAGCCTAGTATGGATCCAGTGATCCGAATGTAGCGTCGTTCCCAGCAAGAACTTTATATTTTGTTGCTCTACAAGCAGCTTTTCGCGAGTCTTCTTCGTGTCTCTTCTAAGAGTAGAGACCAGTTTTTTTCTGCTCTAATCAGTAGCTCAGAGCTACATCAATAGCAATAATAAAACCTTATAAAAGACCAAAAAAACTCTTGCCGATGCGATGACAACGACGACACACAATCTCTTCATATTTGAGTTTCAAAGTTTGCAGCTTGTTCATCAAAATGGACGAGATTGCACAGATCGCCACTTGGGCAAATCTCCTCGAGCCAGATTCCCTATACCAACTCCCCGACTACTCCCTACATAGGTACGATCGGCAGCAGGCGATGCCATATGCCTACTTGGCATGTCAAAGGCCTTTGAAAAAGTCAGTCACCCTACGCTGCTGGAGTACCTGCTCGACATTGGCGGTTCTGGAACGGAATTTAAAATTTGCTTTGCCAACTACAGTATCTCTGCCATCGAACCCAGAAAATGCGCATTGCAACCAAGGACGGACCCTGTTTTTTTTCTACTTCACTATTATATTTTACTAGCAGCACCCCAGGCCAGCGTTGCCTCGCCGAATGTGGCATGCGGGTGAAGCAAGTACATGAACAGCACACGTGCTCAGCACGTGGTGGTGGCCAGACCGCTGAAGTCCTGGTTAGGGAGGTTCTTCATGGTTGGAAGGAGAAGAAGGGACGTCTGTTACGCCTTCGGGAGGCTGGTCAGGGTTGTCCATCACCTGGTGGCGGATGAAGCGGCTCAAAAAATTCATAAACTTACGAACAAAAGTGCGATGCGCTCTTCACTGCAGATCAGATGCAGAGTGCAGTCAGTGCAGATCTTTTGTATCTTTTTGTTGCAGATGTTTCTATTTGCAGAGAACGGTTCACGTGGTCCGCAGCGCTTGTGCGGCTGCTAGTGCTACCTATGGCCTGTAGGCTAGGTGGCTACATAATTCGCACGCTTCGCGTGCTCAGTGCTTCTGCGCGAGGCTGCTACTGCTACTCGTACTGATCGTGTCTGCTACAAAGCGCTACCACCTACACTGTTCGCACGCTTCGCGTGCTCAGCACGTGGTGGTGGCTACACAATTCGAACGCGCGTGCTCAGTGCTTCTGTAGCTGTGGCGCTGCTTCCGCTAGCTACACTATTCGCACGCTTCGCGTACTCAGTGCTTCTGCGGCCGCTAGCTACACTGTGCTACACTGTTCGCACACTTCGCGTGCTCAGGGCAGCGCTGCTCCGCAGGGCTTCAGCGTGACACAAAAACACACGTCACAGGTGCCTCTTCTTTATAAGGAGCGTGACACACACACACACAGACACACGTCACAGGTGCCTCTTCTTTATAAGTAAAGATGACTTTACTTGGGCATTCCCAACAGACCCTAAGGTCTTCCTACAGGGTGCCCAAGATGAATGAATGTGTTAAGTTCCTGGCGAAATGAATAATTGGAGATAGGATTTGTGCGAAGGGATTCTGTCGGGAAGCGCATTGAAGCGGTCAGCACCAAGGAATGAAATAGATTTGTATCCAGCTTGAGTTTTCACAATGGGTAAAGAAAGGGAATTATTGACTTTGCCACGGGTGACTCTATCTGTGTGAGCGAAGTCACCGCGAAGGGAGAACATGTCAGAGAGGAGTAAACCGCAGATGCTACGGAGATTTTTGTCCCATGTACTACGTATGTGTTTTACGTGTGTGTATCACGTGATATCGACCTGTGGGGATAGGAGAAGTCCTGCGGCGCATCATTGGTAAATCCATGAAGACACTCCTCATGGATGACATCACTACCGCTGCTGGGGTGTCCCAACTTTGTGCAGGACACCCGCAGGAAGTGAAGCGGCTATCCATGCCCTGAGACAAGTTTTTACCTCTTTCTTATCTAGCCGCCAACCGCTGGAACTCAGTTCCGGCATCGGTCCGCCTTGCTGCTTCACCAAGCCAATTTCGTATCGCAATCCTAGATTGGCCAAGGTACCCCGTAAGGAGACCATAGGTCTGTGGGGACTGCCCTAGAGAAAATATGAATAAATACTTTAGTATATATACTATACGTGCCATGAAAAAAATAATAATAATGACAACAAACAGGAAGAAGAAGCACAATCAACAAGAGAACCGACAAGTTAGAGAGCTCTGCATAACGCAAACAGCAAAGGCGATACCAACCACGAGAGTGCTAAACTTCTATGAACAGGAGCGAAATACTCAATCCGGGGACAGAACTGCTTCGTCATTCGTAGACTCATCAGCGCAGCAAAGAGAAAATGAGGCCGGACCTGATTTGAATTGAAAATACAATTTTCAAAGCCAGATTTAAACCAGGTCCGAACGTACCTTGCCAGAATGCTCAAACTGAAAAGTCAGTGAGCTATGCATAACGCAAACAGCAAAGGCACTACCTGCATGAGGGTGGTCAACTACTAAAAGAGCAGGAGTGAAATCCTTATTTGGTTGAGAGAACTGTTTCGCTCTTTGTGGACTAATCAGTGCAGCACAAAGAAAATGAGATCAACCCTGACAGCAATGAACAATACAATTTGCAAAGCCAGATTTAAACCAGTCCCGAACGTACCTAAATTAACTTTACAGCTACACATTTTCAGGCATTTCAGCGATCGTTAGACAGCAGCATTTACTATTGCATATCTGCACATAACCATTCTGGTGTTATCGGTGCCAATTATCTTCTAAGGCGGCAGAAAAAGATACAAACATGACTGGGACGATTAAATATCTGCCTATAAATATCACGATCATTAGCAGCAGCATTAGAGAAAGAGAGAGACAGACAGAGAGAGACAGAGAGACAGAGAAAGACAGAGAGAGAGACAGAGAGAGACAGAGAGAGACAGAGAGAGAGAGAGAGAGTAAGTTACATTTATAAAGCCAGGTAAGTCTAACAAATGAGGACTGAGACCTCTACAACAGGGTTTTTACGCCTGAAAGCAGGTGCATGATTTAACAAGTAGGTAGTCAGTCTAGATTTTATGCGCAGATGGAGAAAAAGGGAAGAATTTTTGTAATGAGATGAAAAGCAGAAATAATAAGAAAAGATTAAATGAAAGCCTGCTCACAACCCCGCCCAGCCTTGCGAACTGGGTATGGTGGATTAAGAACCCGGTTCAACGCTCGAGCAAGCGCTCTCCACTCAAGGTGTTCACAGCAACTGATAGGAACTCATATGGGGAAATTATAGAAAAGAAATAATAAGATAAAGAGAATAAATTTCAACGCACCTCAATAAACGGAGCCCCACATACAGTACCTCAGAAAAGTGGATCTTCCGACCAGTGTTTTTGTTGACGTCGCAACCAGATGATGTAGCTGCTTCGCAGAGACGTCTTACTGCACAAATTACAAAAAAAATTTATTCTTCGATTAGAAAACCCAAGCGCTTTCAGAGCCCTCCGAAGAGAGTCCGGGATGAAACCACGCACACCTACCTCAACCGAAAAAGAAACGACCTGCCACCCGTTTGCTCGGCATTGATCGGCCAGATCCGCATACCGCCTGTCCTTCCGCGAGTTACTGACACTGAATCTGTCCTCAGCACAAACTGTCTCCATCCAGAATACAATCCTACGACTCGTAGAGTACAGAACTATATCTGGTCGGAGAGAGAGAGAGACAGAGAGAGAGAGACAGAGACAGAGACAGAGAGAGAGAGAGAGAGAGAGAGAGAGAGAGAGAGAGAGAGAGAGAGAGAGAGAGAGAGAGAGAGAGAGAGAGAGAGAGAGAGAGAGAGAGAGAGGTGTCTGTATGATTGATGAGTCCAGTTTTGTTTTGTAATTTTAGACCATATACGATGAACTCGTATGGTGAGCCAAGGTTCAATTTATAGAAAGGAAAAGAAAAGTGGACATAATAGCGTAACGTTTAGTTCCTTCGTCCTTTTTCTTTTCTGTACATTTATGATGAGGACGGCTGTAGGATTTTGATCCAGGAAACATTCCATCCAAAAAATAGTGCGAGGGCTTGTAGTGATGGTTTGCTGATGCAACTATATGATACTATCGACCAACTATTCTGTATTGATAAAGTATGTTTCTATATGCCTGGCTACTTGTATGTTTGCCATTGTGCATGTGTTCCTCTTCATGTGTGTGTGTGTACGTGTGTGTGTGTGGGTATGTGTGTGTTTGTTGGTTGTGCGGACGTTCAGGTCATTCCGTTGAGGACCGGGAATACAAGGCCAGGCTTCTGAGCAAACCTTGACAATGGACGGTCAACAGCATATTGACTATTGATACCACTTGAAGGGAATTAACGTCAGCCGCGTGTAGAATGGAGAGTGCTGTATTCGACGTGTGGCCAGGCCATTTACTGCCCTTATTGTCCTTGCGGGACATCATCCAGCTGTGTGGAACCTCCAAGCATTTGCGTGCACTGCTATTCGATGAATACATGTTTAGCATTCTATGTCGGGTAAGTAGTTTGTTTACTTGATATTTTAAATTAGATCGAAAACCAAGTGGGCATTGATGTCCAATATTATAATGGCGATACAATAAAAAAATGAAACGTGTCCTGAGAAAATGAGAGAGAAGTAAAGGGGAAATGCATGTACCGGTAATTACAAGCCAATTTCTGACAAACTTTACAATCAGAGAAAAATGGGAAAATGAGGACAGATGCTGCAGGAAGGCAATATTCTCCTAGATTAATTAACCATGGAAGAACACTTTCAGCAATAGTTCTAACGATTTAACGTGTTCCAGGCAGGTTGGAGTTACTTTTTCAGAATAGAGCTAATGCTTGTGGTGTGAGCATGGTGCATAAGGAAACGGAGCTTGAATTTTGCAAGTTCAGTGGCGAGAGGCGAGAGTATAATCATAGGAGTAGTATGGGCCAGGAAGGGCAGATTAGCTACGCGGCGACAACACATCACTTGTCGAGGACAGTGAGCTGGTGCCGCTGATGAAGCATAGAAAGCAGAGAAGAACGTGTTTGATCCATAAAACATGTCAGGAGGTATAAGGGCAGAATAGAGGAGAAGGGACTGGCGTTCGGATAGTGACGGGAGGACGGTTCTCAGGCTGGTTAGCTCCTGGGACGTTTTACGTCCTATGGTAATGACATACGGTTCCCACCGAAGAAATGAATCGATTTGTAGGCCCAGATAGCGAGCAGTGGTAGCCTGGATGGTTCCCGCTGCACTCCACATCGAGTTCCATGTTACTGCAGCGTGATTCCTCAGTGGTTGAGACCTGCGTCTTAGAACCAGGCCTTTCGTTGTAGGAAGTCAGCCATGTTTGACACAGCAGCTGGTGACTGGTGACGACAGGTAGTGGTCTCTGGCCAAGGTCAAGCTATCGTGCGTGGAGTGTTGTGGCCGGTACACAAACTGATTGGAGGGCAGAAGTGAATGGGTTGATAAGAAGTCACATAGGCGTTTGTGGTCTATCTTCTCCAAGATCCTCCATACTATTGGCAGCAAAGATATAGGATGGGAATAATATATAGGATGGGAATAAAAGATGCGTTCTTGTATGTTGAGGAAGCTGTCTGCGGAAGACCTAGGTCCTGGAGTTCATTCTTTTTGCTTCAAGTATTAACATTGTGGAATACATTCAGGATCCCTACGGTAAGATTACGACTACTGGCGTTGTTGTGGTTCAATAAAGGGGAGTAATTTGACGGCTGTGGTCTAGTATGAAATGGGACTGCATTAGGGTATCGTCTATTGTGATGGTAAATTCCGGCAGAAATTGGAATTAGTTGGCGACTTTACACTAGTCGAACACATGCAGGAGCTTGTGACTAGAGAAAATGATGATGCATGAATTCTATCTTGCTAAAATAAAAAATGAGCCATGTTAGACATTCGCTGAATTATCATGGGGAGCTTAGTGTGCGAAATGCTAAAGAACTCTAGTATGCAGTTTTGCTTTTTCCGGGGGGGGGGGGGGCGTGAAGTCGGCACACAACGCCGTCTCCTGTTCACACTCGAAATGCAGCCGTATAGTCCGTTTACGTCACGTCGGAATTCTACTTTACTCTTCCCGGGGAATTGTGTGTTGCTCCGTAAGTGTGAGCTTGCGCTATTCCTGCCGACTTGAATTCTCACTTGACTGACTCACGACTACCATCCAGAGCACACGAGAAGTCCATTTATTCTTCCACTTTCATTCTATTATTTAGATTGAGAAAATCACAGACCAAAACGTCCGAGGAAAACTGGCTGTACTATCATAGTGATCAGGTCAAATTGTCAACCGATATGCTTCACGAATTCACAAATAAGTTGTTTTCACTATCAATTTCTGTATTGTTTGTCCTATACGTGCAGCAACGCTATCAACTCAGGCCTCGTTTGGACGTGTCATATATAGACGCTGCCATAAACCTGGAAATTGTCACCGGTGTGGCCAGCGTGCATCATAGCCACTGCATCGATACCATGCGTTGCATTTACGGCAGCAATGTGGATGTTGCTTTGGTCGGCAGAGAAAAGAAGCAGTCGATTATCACATTGTCGTGCCTAGAGTTGATGCTGCCAGCACAGCTGAGTGATACCACTAGCTGGGACAGCGCTGGCCTGTTCAGGTCACTCGCCGAAAGCCATTTACTACATGCTGTAGAAGATCGTGAATTCCTACCAAACCTTTTGCTGAAGGATGTCGACCGAAAACTTGAGGAGATGGAAGAAGAAGCATTGGATGACTTCAACTTTGAACCATTGCAGTACCTGTTTAGAGATGTCACAGATTTGTTCATGAGAGACGGATCGGAGGAAACGTGTCAAGAAGTGATTATCAACTCGATGGAAGCACTTATTGCGAGGCTGAACAAATACATGCCTTACGTTAACCGCTCGCGGAGGCTTGTGGAAATTGCGCATTCGTTGCATGATTTAGCCCAGACAGACGCAACTTTGTTATCAGCTCTGGGACTTGAAGATCTCAACGCAATTCCTCTTCCGGATGACGATGATGATGATGATGATGATGAGTGGACGGACTCGTATAACCCTTACTACCATTGTGATATCAACTATTGCGACAATTACAATCTGGGCGAAGAAATGGATAAGTCCCGATCATTGATCGACATGGCCGCCAAGCTCTCAGAAAAGCACTCAGTTCTGAGGCTGCTGATAATGGGTAGGCTAAAGACATTGAATCCCGAGAATTACTTCATGGCTCTCAACGAATATGAACAATTCTGGAATAGTTTGTCTGAGTCGAGTCGCCCCAGTCGTAAAGTACTATGCAGCGGCTTGGGAAGCCATCTACTTTCGTCAATATCAGGATTGCCTGATCAGAAGCTGTGGACGAAACTGGAGCTAGTAGACGCCATGAAGAACTATGGAAAAGAACTAGTTTTCCTTGCGCAAGAAGAACTACCGCTTTCTGAGAAGCAAAGAAGACCAGAATGTGGGCAAGATGACGAAAAGAAAGAAGACGAAGAACGCCCATGAGAATGATCACACCGACACACACGCGCACGCAGACACACCAACTCACGTATAAACATGGACGTACATTTGACACCCCGCACTACCTTGTATATTGCAATGTTATGCATCTTTAACTTCGTGATTGTATACCTCCTTATTTTGATAGTCCACTTCACCCGTCCTTGTTAACAGTGTTAGTCACAGTTTGTTCTTACCTTTCCAAGTATTCAATGATGATGATTGACTGTTATATTTTTCGCCGACCGAGCGGGGCAAATGAGGCGAGAAATGATTTTGATACGATGACCTTGTTGCGGCATTCACGGATGCCGGTACCATGCCGTCACCGGTCTGCTGTGCGGCTTCTTCAGCCCTGCAGATCTTGGCCGCGGTTTCCAGGGTGAGGGACGGAGCTGCCAGGAGCTTATGGCGCGTGTCGTCGTTGGCTATGCCAACTACGATGCGGTCTCGCATCATGTCGTCCGTCACCTTGCGGAGGCTCTGGGGACAAGTACTGCATAGCTGAGGTGTACATGTGCTGCACAGCTCCATATCAGGGAAATCGCACTGTGCAAACAGCTCCCTCATTGCAGTAAAGAAGGAGTCAAATGACTCATTGCGCTGCTGCTTTCTATTGTAAAACGCGATCTAGGAGGGGGTTCCGTTGGCGTCGGGTGTACGCTTTTACTGCTATGATGATCTCCGGAGCATCGGCACTGTGGGAGATGACAATCACATCTTCGCGCATGAAACGACGAATGTCGGCATCGAACGCCTGGCGAAGAGCGGACACCCGAGTCTCACGACTTTGGCTGGCGAGGTGCTGGCACACAGCATAATCTCTCCAAGTCTCCTCTCATGCCGTGAAATCGGCCATGGTTGCAGTGCTGAGCAACACCGGTCGCTCGACAGAAATCGGCTTCTGACTGTAGGATGTCGAAGTGCTGGGTGGTGCCTGGTTGTCGCGCGTTGCGTTTTCGACCAGTGTGGTGAGGCGAGTCTCGCGTGCCTCAGCCGCTTTCATCTGCTGCTGCATCAAGGCGAGCGGGGATACAATGTCAGCACTGATTGGGGAAATTCCAGGTTCCGCCATCACGACAATTTTACAACTACAAGACACTTATGCTACATGATCGATCCGGTTTGAAAATAAAAGGCTACAGAATTCACGGACAACTACAGGCTGTCAAATATTCCGTACTCAGGTTACTAGTAGTGAGTTCACTGCGCCATGTTAGGTTCGGTAGACAAGAGACAAGTAGTTGGTTAGAATCAGGGAGTCGTAAAAGCCCGGGAGAGGACACGGCACACATTCCCAGAAAACATCTTTGCCTCGCGCTGCCGGGGAACGCTGCCAGGGAACGGTGTTGCGAGGCAAGGAAATTATTATTTTCGAAAATTGTGATGTCTTCTTGAAATACTAATTGGGACATTCTCCGATTTCTCTTAGAGCACGGAGACGATTGCTCCGTCGAGTCTTCTGATCTCTATTTTCATCCTCAATTCTTCCAGCTGCCTCGCTCATTCTCTCTCAGTTTATCGAAGTTAATATATTCTGAGGCGCTGGAAATGCAAGATAAATCCCTAATTGTACTTCAATTTTATTTGAGTTGGGGTGAACGAAATGAGATTTGTGGGAAATGACGCCACTTCCCGTGTTAGCCGCTGGTCGTATCATACAGCCCATATTCCATTGCAGGTGATGGGCGAACGTTCGTGTTGAGATCCGCTGAGCTTCCTCGTACTCGTGGAGTTGAATTTGTGGCAGAAATTGCACTGAATTGCAGTCAAAATTAATGGTTGTGAATGAAACGAGATTTGTGGAAAATGACGCCACTTCCCGTGTTAGCCGCTGGTCGTATCATACAGCCCATATTCCATTGCAGTTGATGGGCGAAAGTTCTTGTGGAGATCCGCTGAGCTTCCTCGTACTCGTGGAGTTATGAATTTGTTGCAGAAATTGCACTAAAATTGAAGCCAAATGGTTGTGAATGAAACGAGATTTGTGGGAAATGAAGCCACTTCCCGTGTTAGCCGCTGGTCGTATCATACAGCCCATATTCCATTGCAGGTGATGGGCGAAAGTTCTTGCGGAGATCCGCTGAGCTTCCTCGTACTCGTGGAGTTATGAATTTGTGTCAGAAATTGCACTTAAATTGCAGCCGAGTGGACTTCTGTGCGTGTGTTGTGAGTGAATCGCAACGGCTCCCTTCCTTCAGCATCGTCAAAACGCAACATAGAGCATTATTACGCACTCGTTCCATGATTCATGATATTGCCTGGATTCTTTTTAAAACAATCAATGTGTGTTCCCTATCTATCTACATTGTACATGGTTGCAGGTCGTTATTTATAAATCTTGATAATTTCAACACTTTTCTACTCGTATACTGAGTACGCGGTGACTTTAGCCGTTTAGGAAACGGAAGGCTCAGCCTCCAGGTTGGCCAGAAAGGTTCTCAGTGAATTTAACCGAAGTCTTGGCGAGTGTACAAAAGGTAAACCTATCATTTGTACTTCATAGCGGAATTGTGTACAAAAATGCGCACACACGCACGCACGCGCGCACACACACACACACACAAACACTGTACAAACACACACACAAAAGTACAAGCACATGTGCACATACACACGCCTCCCCCCCCCCCCACACACACACACACTCAACTCCCCACCCCCTGTACCTTGTGTACTGAGTCTGACAGACAGACACACAATCATGTTTATGCTTCCTTCGCCACCAGTTTCGGATAATGGTGTCAACAACGAGTTGTAAAATATTGGTATTTTAGGACTCCCTGCCCTGAAAAGGCTGAAGGCGAGCACAGCGCCGTGGATCGAGCAGATCCGGCCGCGCCGGCCTAGCGTGCTTCACTTTCTGGCCGAGGCAAACATCGTCCGCGTGCGCGCATCCCGTGTCCTCTCCCGGGCTTTTACGACTCCCTGGTTAGAATATACGAAGTTTTTTTTTCTTTTTTTTCTACAAAATCCACATATCTCCAGAAGTAGAAAAACTGACAAGATTCAACCTGTAAACAACAGAGAAGACCTTCAAAGCAGGGAGTCGGTATTTTACGACTCCCTGCTTCAAAGATATGCGTGCGTGCATACACAGCAGAGCTAAAGTAAAAGTTAGTTGTACGGCATTACGTCATAACATAACACCTACACATTACTGCATGTTTTCGCTGTGTGTTCCTCACTGCATGCTTACACATACACACACCCATTTGAATTATATACCGTACTGGCAATATATGTTGCCGCGTAACGCATAACGCAGGGGAGGGGGTACCCGGGTGCGGCGTAACGCGCGACCAGGCTAGTGCGACAAATTTTCGTTGAGTTCGTAACGCGCGTCCGGCGGGGTGCGGCGATCTTTTCATTGCAGTTTGCAAGTCGGGTTTGTAAGGGACCATCGCAAAAGTTCGCAGAAGCCCCCGAAACGAAGACCGTTTCGGGCCTGACCCCCCTCCCTCCCCCCTCAAACGAAACGACAGTCACAATATGGGCTTCATTATTTCACTTGGATGCTCACACATAATAATTATAGCAATAAAAACTGCTTTATGGCAGTTTTCTAAAAAAAGTTATTGTGTTCTAGTCCATGGACCCCGTCTAAAAAGTAAGAAATTAACGAAATGTGATAGCCGAAAATTAAAATTTCACACAAAACCTCACAATAATCACACACAGGATGAAAAGTGAGAAGACCTTTTCCCCTCGTGGTCCTCTTTCCTATTCATGCATGTTGGCGCAGTACTCGTACAAGTCACCCGTGAAGTGTCAGACCAAGATGGACTCTTGGTCAGACTAAACAAGTCTTGAAAGCAGTATTTTTTTAAACTTAGATCCTCAAGTGTTGTGATTATTGTGAGGTTTTGTGTGAAATTTTAATTTTCGGCTATCACATTTCGTTAATTTCTTACTTTTTATACGGGGTCCATGGACTAGAACACAATAACTTTTTTTAGAAAACTGCCATAAAGCAGTTTTTATTGCTATAATTTCTTTTGTTTTTTTAGCTAAGGATATTATCAAGACTACAGTCCTTTCATCGGAAACTGGCCCGCTGGTGTAATGGGTAGCCGAGTGGTAGGCGCGGTGAAATCAACAAGAATTACTTTTATTCTACTTTCAGGTACACACCTGAGATATAATTATTAGTGAAAGAAGGCGCGGCAAAATAAATAAGATTCAAGATCTCTCCGGTGCTCACCTAGAGGTTGACTACTTTTTCGAGTTATCTTTCGTTGCTATCTAATCTAATCTTCTCTTTATCAAAACAGAAATGCTCAGCCGCTTTTATGCAGCAGACGCCGTACGCTTACATACGGAGATACACTAAATATACATCAGGCAAAGCTCCGTATTAGTTCCGTACTGCTTCCGTATTGGTCGGGCAGGGATACTACACTGGCTTTTGAAAGTCGGATTTGGGCCGAATTGAGGATCAAAAACCCACTTTAAATCTCAAAAATCTGGGTTTTGGATCTGCTTCTCCATACATTTTGCCATGGCATACCTGTCCTAATTTTGTAAAACCTGGCTGAATTTCTATTTCCCTGTTCTTGGACTTTTCTGGCCTCAAATGTGGCAAGGAGTAATTGCACGGGTCAAACAATGCAGGATGTACTGTTGTTTTCACGATATCTACAACTATATGAGAGAGACACCAAAAAGTTAGGGTGCCAGTTTCCAATGAATGGACTGTAGACAGGAGTCCATAAACAAGAGTGTGCAACTGTGATCTCTTTTCTATGGGCCAGATGCGCGGCACGCTGCCTTCATTACATCATTCAGCTGCAGTCCGCGCACTGCGGAAAATCAAACACCGCACTTTCCCTCTGGTTTGAAATGAACTTTCGTACGGAACTGGAGTTCAGGGCTTTCACGCGCCAGAATTCAGAGATCGCGTAGATACTGGAACCAAGAGTCCATAAACAGTTTATGCACTCTTGATATTATTTTATAATAATTGTGTCACCAATGGAATGCCTACACATGTGCATCATTATCAAATTCAATGCCGTATTTTACGCATTGATGTGCAAGCCTTTCCTTGCAGAAAATGACACTACATTTATAGTCTTGCATATTCATGTTCTTCTGCAGGGGAATCATATGGGTAGTGGCAAGAGTTATGGGTTATGTACTCTTGGTAGTGGCGGTGATACTTTTTTATACGCATGTCATTCTGTGGATGTTACTGTTGCAGAATTAAAATTGTCTTGTCTTTCAGAAAATTCAGATGTCCACACCCTAAATCACATTTACTTGAGAATTGTAACCAGGTGCGTGCCGCTGATGTTTTTGTTGATTCTGTGTTTATAATTGTAGTCATGGGCTGTCGTGATAAGGTCATCTGGCATCATATTGTACTGAAATTGTAATCCTGTTGATGTTAATAAAACTTTTGGAAGCAGTTCAATGACTTCAAAGTGTTACAAGTCCACGATTGTCTAAAACAACACAGCAAAGTAGGAACAATAAACATGTATTAAAATGTAAACAAATACATTGTCAGACACCTCGTTCCAACAACTACACTGATCCTGAGGATATAAGGGGCAAGGATATATGGTTGGAGGTACTGAG